TAGGATGAACCTGGAGACATTATATTAAGTAGAAATAAGACCAGACAGAGAAAGACAAATATTGCATGATATCACTTATATGTGGAATCTGAAAAAGTTGAATTCATAGTAACAATGAGTAGAATGGTGGTTACCAGGGCTGGGGATTTGGGGGAAATGGGGAGATACTGGTCAAAGGGCACAAACTTTCAATTACAGAATAAATGAGTTCTGGAGACCTAATATACATATACATGGTAACTATAGTATACATACAAGACTTCGCATTGCACACCTTAAATATATACAATTTTTACTTATCAATCACACTTCAATAAAACTGGGGGAGAAAACATATAACTCAGTCTCTCAACGTTTTGATCAAAATTCTAAGGAGGCAGAGTCTCAGGTCAGATACAGAGCCGGATCCAGTCAGCTGTAGGCACTGGGATGCAGAAGAGTTCCTGTACAACCCCTCCAGGACTCTCTGACAAACTGGCAAATTGTATAAAGGGGAAGGGGGAGAGGAGAGGGAGGAAATGACTGGCATCTGAGTGTGTGTGTATATGTTTTCAAAATTCCATAAATTCTCTACTGGTGAGCCTGCCAACAGCCACAATACCTATGGCCTCCATCTCACCTCCATTTTAACCACCCACCTGAATATGCACACCCTTCACCCAGCCTGTAGTCTCCACCATGTACACCATGCTGTTTCACGCCTCCACAGCTTAGACCTGACAATTTCCTCTGCTTTGTCCACCCAGGGAACACCCATTCCTCTCTCAAACACTGCTGGCTTTCACCTTCTCTGAGGTTCTAAGTCTCTCTTATTCCCACCCCACCCCGCAAAATAAATTCCTCACTTTCTTTTTCACTATAGTCCTTCTTTAATTTTCACACACGTTACTTCTGTTACTGCATACATTACATTGCATTGTGTTCATAGATTCTTATAGGGATGAACATTATCCAACTTGTCTTTAGACCTCTAGGATCTAAAAAACAAAGTAGGTTCTCAACAGTACTGTTCCAGCACAATGAACAAGCATGACTTTTGGGACTAATTTAGAGCAACTTAATTTTTACTTCCTACTGTCCCTATGAATAACCCTCTCTCGGGGCTGGTTCTCCTCCCATCCTTAAATGAAGCTTGAGCAGTCCTGTCCCATTTTCTGGTCACTTTTAGTTAAGAAAAGTTAGTAATTAGAATATCCAGCATCATAGTTGAAATCTGCCCCTTGACCTACAGTGTAGGCGTGCCCCCTGCCCCCAGTTTGCACCTGCTGTAGACAGGGAAGCGTACATTTAGGGAAAGAGTGGGCCACTTCCCTCTTTCCCCGATTCATTTGTCTAATGGCTCTCCAACAACTCCTTTCAAACATCCTCTTCAAAACCCTATGCCTGTCTTCATCTTGACTCTTTCATGCTCTTGATGTGGGTGAGGGCCTAAGAGCAGTAATCAGTTCTCACCGTCGTACATTTTGTTAAAGTCCCGTAGAATGGTGTCTCTGGTATTTCTTGTCACAGGGTCTCAGGGAGCACTCCTGTTTTGGCATACTTTTTTAATACCTTAACTACACTGTCACCACTTGGGATTCTTCTATTTCTAACTTTCCGCATGCTTTTCTCCTCACCCCAAGTTTCCTTTCCTTCTACCCAATTCCACCCCTTGTGCATAATCTATTCACCCACTTCATAACCTCGAGTTACTGACCCCTACATAGTCTCCGAATCCCTTGTCTCTTTACCTAGGCAGCAGTGCTAGCCATCTCACCAAGTCTTGCTAGGCACTAGACAAACTAATGTGTTTCTCAAGAAAAGGGACCCAATGAAAGACAGGTTCCCTTATGTGGCAGAAGATTTTCCTGGCCATCAGTGCTACATTTGGCTCTTGGGATCAGTGACTGAAGTAGTATGGTGGTTTCACCTTCTGAGCTACTTCTATCCCTAGAAACCAGAGTTGTCCAACAAGAAAGTACCTTGTCTCTTAGAAGCTTGAATTCCTGACCTAGACATGCCATTCCTCCTACTCCAAGTGATTCTCTATTTACTGAAAGGCTATAAAAACAGGCTTGATCCTCCTGCTTCTCATCCATTACTACTGACAGAACCACTCTGTAGTCAGAACAGCCACATTAACCCTGCGAGGCTATGGGAAGAGGCTTCCATTCAATGGCCTTTCGCACATGCACCCTCTCACTGGAGAAAACTCACATACATAGACATCAGCGATGTTTTGATGTGCCTCCCCAACTACTGGGGCAGTCAGTAGTAAAAGCCCCCCACCCCTCTACTGCCATCTGCCATGCTCACAGCCCAAGATTCATGAGGTGGTAAAGCAATAAAGACATCATCATCTGAGTCATGTGTGATAGATCAAAGGCCCACTTTAGGAGGCTCAGTCCTCCATCTTTCCAGTAAATCCTGTATATTCCTGGGGTCTATACTAATGACCTCATCACTGACCTTTCCCAAATCAGGATGCTGGCCTCTCAAATCAGGAGAGGCCTCTATCATAGTGGCCTCTCTCCTGAATATAGTTCACTGTGCCCTACTCATCTGCCCATCTCAAGCTCTAACCCTTATTCCTTTAGAAAATTTCAAATATATAGCTATCCAGAGAGGTGGTCTTAAATCACAGGTCTAATTTCTTTTCTCCTTCTTAAAGCAATGGTTCTCAACCTTACTAGCAAAATGAAGATCTTTAAAAAAAAAAAAAAACACTGAAGTTCGAGTTCCACTCCCAGAGATTCTGACTGAATTGCTCTGGGGTGAAGCCTGGGCATTAGGACTTGTTAGAGCTGAGTCCAATGTGCAGGCAAGGTAAAGAACTTGTCTTAAGGCTCTCTAAACACAGGCAAATCAATACTATATTGAGCATCCACATTTTGGTGGGGAGATGGCATGTGTAAATGTGGTGGGAGGCTCAAGGAAGAAACTCTCATTTGTTGATCATATATTATGCATTAAGTTCTGTAATAGTAACTCACGCAGTCTTTTCAACAGACCCACATTTCATCTTTACAGTCATCCTATGAGGTAGGCACTGTTATCCTTATTTCCAATACAGGGAAACTGAGGCTCAAGAGAGGTCACACAGAGCGATTGGCATATCCAAGAGTGAAACCCCAGGTCTGAGTCTCAAGTCTACACCCTTTCTGTGACACCACAGTGAGAGGTCGTGCCTCTTACAGCTGGATGATCCCACTCCCTAAAATGAAACACCCATGCTTCTACACAGAAATCCTATTCTATCACATCTGTGGACTTTTCCCTGGAACATTTTCCCAACAACTCCACACGTAGAGCCCAGGTACTAGGCTATACTTCAGGCTAACAAAATGAAGTGCTCCTGGGAAAACTTCTTGATAGGGGACGATCATGTTGGGGACTTTATCAAAGTTACTTCCATTCTATTTATTGATACCTGGATCCTTCTCCATCCCTGTGGCTTTCTATATTCAGCTTTTCCTACAAATAAAGCTACATTGCTTACCTGTAAGCCATTCCTTTGCTGGCCTACTGTAAGTATGTATTTCATCCTTCCTCTGCCATGTACTCCAGACAGTACACAAAGAATCGAAATATAATGGCTAAGCTGCATAAGATTGCTGCTGATATCAAGATGGATTCTCATATTTAGTGAACTGGGAGGCTAGAGACTAGAAGTACGTACTTTTGTAATGCACCAGTGGTACGTCTAAGTGACTTGGTGGTTCAGTTCCACCATTTCACTCTATGAAATCCACATTTCATTCTGGCTGAGGTGTGGTGGTAGAGACAAGGGGACTCACTGGGCGAGAGCACTTCAGGTGTTGGGTGGTACCTTTCAGATGCTGCAGGACAAAATCCAATGCTTGCACAGGTGTCCCCCACATCCTGAGAAAGAAAGAGGTCAAATTAGTCAGTTCTCTCAAGACCGTTTCCAAATTCCTGACTTCTGTTAACTTAACTGTTTTCCCTAATCCCAACCCTAGTCCTTGCCCAGGACTATAGCTTTTAGATCCCTCCGTGTTCCACTCACTTAGGGACTTCTCAATTTTCACCTTACGTTCGATGGACTAAAAGTGTGGCATTTCTGCCTTTCTGTTTACAGACTTGCACAAGCTCACACTATTCGGAGGAAAACTTTCTCTACTGCCAACAGTTCTGTTTTTCTCGTTTCCCCTCTCCGCTGTGCTGGAGAGTTACTGCCTTCATTTACCTCTCAAATTTCCCCGCTTCTGCCCACTGCATTACCTTCATTCTCACTCACAACCTCTCTGGCTCTCCAGTAAAAAACAAAAACAAAACAAAAGAACTTTTTTTTTCCTTGGCCCCTCAGATTTATTCCTTCATGTCGCTCCCAGGGTTATCTTTGCAAACACAGACAGCGCATCACTCTTGCTTTGAAACCGTGACTGGCTCTTCCACGCCCGTTCCTTCGCTCCTAGGTTCGCGGAAACCTCTCCTCACAGAGTTCACCGCCGAAACACGGTAACGGGGAAGGAGGGACGACCATACAAGCATGTGGAGTTGTGACTGAAAAACCTCGAAGAATGGAGTGTTGAGTATTTGAATCCATCGTTCAACATGAATTATGAGATCCTCCGACCTTTCTCGAGGGTTACGTTTGGGTGACTAATCCCCGGCCAAAGCTTTCGAAATATTTTCGCGCTAAAATAGAGCCAAGCGCATGCGCACACGCACATTGGAGGGTTCCGCTGTTCGCGCAGGCAGATCTCGCGATGTTTGGGGAAACCCAGCGCGTAGAAATTTGTGTGGGGGGGGGGGGGCTTCGGGGTTTTTTTCCCCATCCCCCAGGCCCGATGGATTAGTGGGGTAGTCAAATAAAAAAAAAAATCAAGACTCCGAGGCGAGAACAGATGAGGCTAGGAGGAGTAGGCGACACGCCAGCGGCAGTTCTCTGGGGCCGAAGAATTCTACGGACTTCTCAGCGAGGCACCGAAGGCCTCACAGTTCTCCAGAAACAAAAGCCAGAAGTACGTAAAAATAGGGAAGACCAATCAGTTTATCACCTTAGGACGCAGTGTGGGTTTTTTGTTTGGTTGGTTTTTTGCACTTTTCACCGTATGAAAAATCCCATTGGCTGCCCGCAAACCGCTTTACCCTCCTGCTGTCACTGCGCCTGCGCGGGGTTTGTTTACTACTTCGGCGGCCCCTGGGTCCTGATTTCTGAGCCCGGCGTTTACAGTCCTGGTGTGTAGATCGTCGTGAAAGTCATGTTTTTCAGCCGGGAGCACGGGTTGGAGGTTAATAACAGGACAGTTGAAGTGTAAGTCTGAAACCAGTGAAAATATAAGTGGTAATGAAAAACTCGAACACTCAGAAATCGTTGCCCTGTCAGAAGATCTTTAAAATGAAAGTAATGAAGGTGATAGCACCACTCTAACCATAACTAAGAAGTGGTTAACAGCGGGAAACCCAAAAGCGGAGGTCGTACTTAGGTCCCTATTTAAGATATGGACTCTGTTATGGAAGAGATGCAAATCACCCCAACCCTAAGCCTACCCAAGTATTGCTCAAATTTCGAGCAATACTTGCATGGTTAAGAATGACTCTTGAAGCAGAGTCAAAAAAGCAGCTATGCAAATTTCGAAACTAAAAGCAGAGATGACTGTAGAAGCAATAGCCAGAAAAAGCACAAACCAACAGGCAAATTTTTAAAAATGGTTTTAAGTTCCCTTCAAAATCAGTTTCAGATGGCTTGGAAGGCTGTGATACTTAAAAAATGAGAAGATCTGGTAAAACTGTTGCAAATAGGACTGGATCCGTTTGAAAACAAAAAAGGCAGGCAAGCTGATTTTTTTAAAAAGTGTATTTATGGAAGATTTCTAATGATGCATTTTAATGTGCTCAAAAACAGCTTTAAATAACTGATAGATTCGGCTAAACCTGGATCTTTATCTTAGAGTTGGATAATAGCACAGATGTTAACAATTTGGTGAATTTGTTGGACTCTGGTTTTAAATTAATTTGAAAACTTTAATTTGTAACTGAAGAAAATTTATACAAAAAAGTGAGATTTTTAGGTAGCATGAGATTAAGTAGAGGAAAAGTATGGCCATACATGCAGATGGAACCAAAATTTGAAGGCCTGGACACTTCCAGCATGGTTCACAGAGAGGCTTCACCTTAAAAAAAATTAGCCTCTGGGTTTTTCTTATTATGTTCAATATGACAGTAAAATTTAGTAAGTCTAGCAATTTGGATGCTTACCATTTAAGGCAACAATTTGTACCAAAGTCAGAAGGGACTTTAAAATCTTGCTCCATTTTCTAGAGGTACACTCATTTGGTTGAGGTAAGGTGATAGCCAGCTTTCTAAGCCAAGATTAAATTGACATTTTCTTCATGAAGGAAAAGAAACGTAAGTAAGCTGAATTGATTCTTTGTTCACCTATTAAAGTGATTAAGACGGACTCATAAACACTGCTTACTTTGTCAAGGCAGTCAACAACTGTAAAACAAACTGCATACTTTATATTGCACATGATGAGGTGGGTCTAACGAAAATTAAGAATAGGAATTGGATGAAAAGTCTGTACAGAACTAGGAATCCTTTCAGCCTACTAGTTCATTTACATGTGACAAAAAGGTTAGTGTAAGACTGTTAAGTGGTCAAGTAACACTTCTTTGTTCGCTGGGGGGAAAAGTCCTTTAGTGAGTAAAAGAAACTCACTAGTGGATTGGCTACCAAATTCAGTCTGTCATACGACTCAGGAAATATACTTCCAAAATTTTCACAATCAGTATCTTCAAAAGTTATCCAAACCAGTTCCTTTTTTAAAATTTTAATTGGAGGTACTGAGGTTTGAACCCAGAATCTTGAACATGCTGACCATGCACTCTACCACTGGGCTATACCTTCCCCACCCTATACTGGTTCTTTAACAGGATTCTGGGCATCCTCTCCTGTAATTACCGAGACATTGTAAAGCAGGGAAAGAACTGCTGCCATCTGTGTCCACATATTTATGTGAATCTGAATCTTGAATTATTGTGACCCCAAGACAAGTAAGAAATTGCTGAACAACAAATATGACATGCATTCCCAATTACCCAAAATGGATTGAATCAACACAATATAATCTTATTAACTAAGTAATAGAACTCTTTTCATGATAGCTCATTCAAAAAGTATTAAACATACATTATAGCCAAATTGCATGAATCCTTAATGATTAAACAAGAGACTTCAAGAAATTGTGCTGCTTTTTCTAGCTATGTGCTCTTTTCAGTGTTGGGAGTAGTTCCAGCACTCTTGTCACACCTGAAGAATGTTCCCGTCAGGTGGAAGGGAATCATTAGCAAGGAGGTGGGGACATATGGGAGAAAAAAGGGTGAACTTTGGTTTTTAATATTAAGCAGTGCCCTTTAAGGACATCGTTGCTGAAGCACTCTTCCTTCTGTTAGGGAACTTGGCTCTGGCTTCCCTCCCACCCCTGTATTTGCCTGGCTTCTTAATTGTATTTACCTGTCTGTAAGGAAAAATGCCTTTCTGTTCTGTCCTCAACATGTTAAGAGTCTTATGTCATAGACACAAGATGGCTGCCATAGCACCAAACATCATGTTCTTATATGAAATGTTCCAAGCAGAAAGGAAGGGATGTAGGGAGAAAAAAAAAAGCAAGAAGGAAAAATGCTTTCTATTTGTGGTCTCCCTTCTTGTTAGGATGGAAAAATTTCCCCATATGACTTAACAGACTTCCTTTTACACCTCATTGCTCAGAACTATATCATATGACCACCACCAACTGGGAGGAAGGCTAGGAAAGTATGTACAGAAAAAGCAAGTATGTTTTTTGAAACGGTGCACTAAAAATAACAGGAGTTATGGGAAATACAAGCTTAGGAGTGGACCACTCGAAACTTATACAGTTATGTTACTTGAGGACCATAAAAGTTACTAAGCTAATAAAAAAATTACTAACACAATTAAATCTACACCAGCATTTGTACTCAGTATCACAGTCATCTTTTAGAGCTATGCTGTCCAGTATGGTAGCCACCAGCCGTTGTGTGGCTGTTGAGCATTTAAATGTACCAATCCAAATTGAGATGTGATGTAAATATAAAATACACACCAGATTTCAAAGACTTACTATGAAAAAAGACTGTAAAATATCTCAGTAGTTTTTATATTGATTATATGTTGAAATGTTTCACCTGTTTCTTTTTACTTTTTAAAAATATGACTACTAGAAACTTAAAATTGCATGTGTTTCTCATATTAGACAGCCCTGCTTCAGAACCTTTAATCCTGGGACATGTGCTTTCTCCTTGGACATTTGGGTTCTTGAGGGCATTTGCTTCCAGTTGAAAGCAGTTTCATCAAAATTAAAAATCTGATCCAGGATTTAGCCTTCTTGATCAGTCAGTCCTCCCCACCCTGACCCTGGCGCACGCGCGCGCACGCACGAGAAAATGGTTTCACACCTTCATTTACACTGTGTAGCTTTACCACATAACAATGTTGTAAAAATCTTAAAGGTCCTTGAAGCCACCAAACAAGCCTTTCTTTGCACTAAAGAAAGGCATTCCTGAAGAATTTCCTGCTTTTTTCTTAGTCTTTATATTGCTAAGGTTTTCTATTTAATTGTAGGAAGGCTTGCCTCTGATCACTTCGAAATGTATTCTGGGAAAAATAATGAACCAATGTGATTTCTGAATTACGTTGACATTTTTCCCCATTTATCAATTACACATGAACTAATAATGACTATATCTGGTGTATAGAGCTTTTATTGTGGGAGATAGGACGCCAGGAGGCAAAAGAGAGAGTTCTAATCCTACATTTTTAAAGGGTTGGTACGTGATTATGAGCTATCTCGGACAGTGTCAGGGAAAATAACAGGGGAATAAGATGACTCTTCTAATTACCAAGCTAACATTTAGTAAATTGTCGCATTTGATTAACTCAATTACCGGCCTCTCCCAGTTTAAATCCATTGAATTCTTAGGACCTATTTCAGAAGCAACCTCTGAAACCATCCCAGATCGCACTTCTAGAATACTCATAGCACTTTCCTTGTTCCATCTTTTTAAAGCACATATATTTGGCCATGTGTTAATATTGTTGTCTTCTTGTTTAACTTTTATATATAGAATAAAGCTCCTACCGTTGAAGATGGTAATTGCATCTTACTCACTTTTCAAAATTTCTCTAGTGATTGGCCTTACGGTTCATACAAAGGAGACACACTTAAGTATCTGTCAAATTTAATTGTGCTCTAACTACCCTAAAATGATTTATTTAATAGACCTACTATTTAATGGAATAAATGTAAAGTATGAGTTGATTTTTAACTTACATCTCTAGTGCTTAAAAAAAGTACAGCAGAGCCCTCTGCACAGAATAGTATTAGAAAATCAAACTAAACATGTAAGAGTATGTACTGGTGGATTTTTTTTCAATTCTTATTTTAAGTGATTAAGACTAAATCCTCAGTAAATATAGACCTGTGATAAATCTAGGTCCACATAGTGATGACTCATGTTTTAAGACTGGTTTTCTAGATTTCCCTCCTCCTTTTTCTCAGTGCCTTTTCTCTTTCCTCCTCTATTTTAAACTCCTTATGTTTTCTTTAATTCTCTGTCTCTGATAATTGCTCAAATCAAGAAATCTGTAAAGAATGTCTAACTTTTAAGGCTAAAACATCATAAGCACATTTAAAGTCCAGAGAGACCAGCATAAGTAATGGTCATGATAGACTTGGTAATTATTAATCCTGTCCATCTAATCACACCATTCTTCATCCCGATGATCAGGGCACTCAAGAATGATGACTTAGTTCTGTTCTTGTCTTTTCACTTGGGCATACAGTATACTGACATAAATCTCATGTTGACTGATGAACTGGACTTGGCCAAAAGAGCTGTTTTAGAACGACTTACAAGCAAAAAGGGGTCTTCCATTTAGACAATCAGTGTACAGTTTCCTTGAATTTTCTGTAATTTGTTTCAATTCTTGCATGATGCTC